GTTGTCCACAATCAGCAACATTCTCCTCTCCACATTTCCTACGCCGATAAACCTGGCTGGTCCCAACTATTCTTTCCATATAGAGCACAAACAGGAGAGACGACAGGACGCAGCCCTGGCAGAGACCAGTGCCAATGTTGAAAAGTTTTCTGATTGATGCCTTTTATTATGACGCAGCACTTGCTATTAGAATACAGTGATTGGGTGGAGCTTAGCAGCTGGCCATATAACCTATATGCTCGGTGACATAATCACAGAATGTTGCGTGAGACCTGGTCATAGGCTTTCTCTGGGTCAAGATTGCTAATGTACATCGGACGGGCTTACTCCTACGATTTCTCAACAATCTGGCGCAGGGCAAGTATATGGTCAGAGGTGCTTCGACCAGGCCGGAAGCAACATTGCACTTCTTGTATCTTGGAGTCAGTTATTCCATTACAACTTGTTTCTGGCACCTCTGCGTAGACTTTACTTGGGAGGCTCAATTTCGTAATGCCCCTATAATTGGAGCATTCTTTGTGGTCTCCCTTCTTGAATACGGGTACAATAACTTCCGTTTTCCAGTCCGCCGGTGTCTTTCCCGCAGTCATCGCAGTTTGACAGACCCGTGTTAGCCAGCACATGCCTTGTTTGTTTAATGCCTTGAGTATTTCAGGGCGGATTTTTTTCTCAATTCCAGCAACTTTACTTTTCAGCTATCCAGCCTGTGTAATTTCATCTACAGAGAAAGAGAGTAATATCCGTTTCCTGCTGCTCCACAGTCGAGTCTTCCTGTGGTTGCTGGGGGTAAAAGTGTTCCTCAGATTACTCTCTGTATCACCGAAGAATATAATCATCCTTGGTAAAAGCTGGCTTTCAGGACTCTTATGCTGCCCTTCTTTTCACATCGGAGTAGGCGGAGGGTCTGCAAGAATGCCTCGGTTGCCGTGTGGATATTCGACTGCAACGCCCCACCGAACTTTGCCACTGCTTTCGCCACTGCTTTCGCTGCCGCCTTACGTGCTCGACATTTCGCACGCGAGTATAAGGCTCGTTGCTTCGAAACCATTTCTTGTATGCAGTATTTTTCTCTTTAACTGTCAGTTGTACCTCTGGTGTCCACCAGTAAGATTCCGTCTGATGTTCAAGCGGGCAGGCCAAACCGTTTAAATCCGCGGCATTACAAACTAGGGTATAGACCTGTACCTAGGTCATCGATTTAGCCTGTTATAGCTTCAGTCGGAGGATTACCGCCCTTCCGCTGACAGGCGTCCATTCAATGATTTTATCTGCGAGTTCTGGTTCCATCAGAACACCTACAATGGCCAGTGCGCGCGTCGTGATATCGACTCCTGAATAATATAGCTTCCTCCCGCAGATGTTCATGATTCCAGAGCCTTGGCGTTTTGTTGACGAGAGTCCAGCAATGTCGAATTGGTACTTTATGGCCTCATCAACTAACTCCTGTTCTTTCCCTCTGAGTGAAGATTTATTCCAATTTCCGACTCTAAGCTTCCATTGGCGGAGTCGTTCTCGTGGATCCTTTTCTGACATGCCAAAATGGCATCGCTCTGTCTGCCTCCTCCGTACAGAACGTATAGAGACTCTGTTGCTGACTGGTATATTCGTCGTCGTTCGGTCGGTCTTTGTTAGCCGTTGTTGTGCTGCAACGGCCCCCGCTGTCAGAGGGCGGTGAGCAGGTTGTGGTCGCGAGCTTTTCACAGTCTTCTTCAGTCTCTCTAACAGCCTGTGCGACCCTTGGTAACTCGGCTGACGACCGAGCCGGCATTATTTTCGATGACTTCTATACCATGATTGGCAAGTGGCGAATTTTAACGGAGACTTCACCACGGTGTCCTTCCCTCCTCCTGTTTCAATCTGACTTGGGACCAGCAACGGCATAAGGGTAGTATAACAATTATTAACCTATTGCAATATTACTTTACATTAACAATTACGTGTTGGAAACTAATTTCTATGTGCATCCTGTAAATGAAACTGACAGAAGTTACCTTTGAAGCATGTTAATGTATTTTAAACAGGTAAGCATATGGTACGATTAACGGGTGTGAGTGTGTTAAATGTGACTTCGAATTCAGGTTACATGAAAATATGGGAAACGTAACTCGTACGTAGGTCGGATCGTCCACTGTAAACGTCTAAACGTGTTGATGGTTAATAAATCAGGTTTAACAAAAGCTTTGGCATGGCGCTAAATCGATAATCCAAGTAGTTATTAGTTAATTTACACAGACAATGAAATTTATTCGATGGCAACTGAGCGATAGTTCCAACACAAAAATTCATTTTTTAAACTGGAAATGCACAGTAGCATCTTCCATCCGCTGGGTTCATTAATTTCAGATCAATCTTTAAGGCGTTGTGGTTTCAACGCATTTCTTCTGGAGAGAGTCAAGGGCACGTCAGCTTCAGCGCTAACTGCATGTACAGAATCAATTGCAAGCCATTAACAGTCGGTAGGATAAAATGTTTCTGATTAATTAGCAAGTTTCTCTACTGCGTTTGGCGGCAGTGCGATGCTATTAAAATTTCATATTCAAGACGAAACGCTGATTATGGCACATTCATTTCAAAGCCGACAGTTTGTCCAGCCACCTCCATTAAGATCGTCAGTAGTGGGCGTATTCATTCTTAGCGCACAGTAGCAGCGGAACGTTTATCATAAGGAGTTTAATATCGCCCACGCATTTCTTACTCGTTTGCGATCGCGATGGTCGGGTTTCAAAGTTTCGCGAAGGCAGTCTCGCGAGGAGAACCAAAAACTCGTCCCTCTGTTTGCACCTTAACGCAACAATGCCTCCACGCATTTGTCCGAACCGACGAGAACGGAACGCGTTACTCAGCGGTGGTGGCGGCGCGTTTAGTCGGCAGTCGTCGCCACGGCCTCTCTTCAGTCAGCGAGAGGAAAGAGGGTGTCTCTTCGTCATTCGACAGGTCAGTAGAACTGCAGGAAACGAGCGTGTAAGAAATATCCCGTACAACGACCAAATGGAGCAGAACGACGAAGAAGGGCTTCGGGTCCGTTTTTCAGTCGATTTTTCTAAACGTCTTGATTGTTCTCGACGACCAGCCGGTGACCTGACCTTGCTACTGAGTTTAGCTGTGCCTAAAGTTAAAAGTTTGGATGACACGACTGGCCTCAACATCTATCCGAATGTGCGCAGCTCTTCCGATGGACGCTGCAACAATTATGATTGATGAACTTCCATACGAAACTTCTGCCAGACAAAACGACGCCGGATTGTAGCGAAGGAGCTTTTATAAAGTATAAATTGCCTATCGCATTTGCTGAACACATGCCGAAACGCCACTTCAGTAATCACATCGCGACAACTAAAACGAGCGGATTATACTGTTCTACTATGTTGTACTATACTGTACAACATGCACATTTATTTCATTATGATAATATAGATCGAAATCCAGTTACCTGAAAGTGTTGCTGTGATTATATCTACATCCTATGATGACAGCAATTTATTCTTTTTATCAAATGAATTTTGAGACTGGATGTTGCTCTCTGAGATCGCACTTTTCAGAATTGAAGAAAATGAATGAGACAGTAAATTTGAGCAGCCAGTTAACATCTGGAAAACAAACATTTGGGAATCTGTGTTCTGCCCTGTTCGACGATATTAGATTAACGATAAATTAGTCAGCGAATGCAACAATGTTCCATGATCCGAACTGCGGCACTATCCGACTAATGTGACGCTCTAGTTTAACATTAAGCATAATCAGTACCTTGGTTTATTGCACTGAATTCAGTGTGTTTCTTTTTCTTCTTTATTCCTAGCATGTACTCTTTAACACGGATCCGTGAATTTGCCTCCTCCACATTTTTCTGTCCTTGGTTAAATGTCCAATGAATCCTCACAGTTTCGTATCCTTCTTGACGACATCGCGGCACCTTTTCTTCGGTCTACCTCTTCCCTGGCACCACCAGTGCTTGGGCCACATATCCAACGAACTTGATGGACCTTCTTTTCACGTGACTGAATCAACGGAGCATGCCTTTGATAAACTTTCCTGAAACTGATGCTACCCAAGAATGACTCTTTGAAACTTCTGTGAAAGTGGTTTCTTCTGCTGACATCATTCATCCATCTGAGCATTCGCATTTCTATCGAGTTCAGCCTTTGCTCATGTCTCTTCAAGGTAGCCAAATATTCCGCTTCATGCAGAAGCGCCGGTCTTACTATTTTTCTGTACACCTTCTCCTGCAACCTGATGGGTATCTTTTTGTCGTACAGTACTCCGCTCACTGCTCTCCATTTGAACCAAGCTTATTACGACTGATTTTTTTTGACTCGCTGTCGATTCCATATTATCTTGCAGGATGGAATCAAGATAGCTGAATTCTTGGGTTTGAGGCAACAAGCCCCCCCTACTTTCACTTGTTTGATGGCTTTTAATCTGCTTTCCCCACTGAAATACCTCGTCAAATATTCTGACTTGCCGTTCTTCGCAAAAGCTGATCTCCATGCCTCAGTTTTTGCTTCTACTGCTCCCTTCTTCCGCTGCACAGCACAATGACATCTGCACAGAACATACAGTACTGAGCTGCTTCCTGCAGGTCCTTAGTTATCAAGAACAAAAATGGGCTCAATGTGAATTGTTGTTGGACTCCTACTCGCAGAAGTTAATCATCCACTTCGCCGAATGTACTTCTAACTATCATCATCACTCTGTCGTACATGTCTTTGGTAAGACTGACATTTTTCTGGCACAGGCTTCTTTCTCATGCTCCACCATATTGTTTACCTTGAGATTCGGTCAAAAGCTTTGTCCAGATTTAGAAACACTATGTGAATGTCCTGTCTGCCTTCTTTATATGCTTCTAGGACAGATCTAAAAGCGAATACGGCGTTCGTGGTTGACCGGCTTGGCACAAAGCCAAACCGGTTCGTGGTTTTGTCCAGCACCCTCGCATATATCTTCATGGTGTGACTAAGCAATTTGATTCCTCGGTAATTTTCACAGACGAGCATGTCCCTTTCATTTTGCACATTGGCATCTAAATACTCTGCTTCCATGATTCTGAAATTTTCTCACACTCAATAATTTTGCAGATTAGCGCGCAGAGCCAAACCACGCCTTTTTGCTCCAGTGCCTTCCATGCTTCCATGGGAACTTTTTATATTTCATTCTGCTCAAGGCATTCCACTTCCTCCAGTGAGATCCTTACGACTAAGCCCTTGTTTTGTGGGATCTCTTCCGCGGCCTCTCTGGGATGTTCTTCGTTTAGTAAAGTTTGGAAGTGCCTTCACCATCGGTTACGAAAGTCTTTCTCATCGGTCAGCATCTTTAATGCACTTCACATATTGACGTCTTCTATTCTTCATTATCTGGCTTTTACAATGCGAGAGACGTCTTTCTCTCTTTCGTTTGTTGCCAGTTTTTCGTATACGCTCTTGCTCGCTGTTGACTTTGCTTCAGCGACGGCTTTCATTGCATCCCTCTTTGATATGGCATATTTTACTCTGTCTTTCAAGCTGTTTGATAACCATTTCGTGAACAGCTCTCTCTTCTGTCGCAAGTATGTCGGCACGTCTACTGTCCACCACAACGTTTCTTACTGAACATGTGCTGTATCTTTTGTTTCTCCAACTAGGCCTCTGGCTTTCCCTATGATTGTGCTGGGCATCCGCTTTGTCCACTTTTCTATTCAAATTTTCTTTCGTCTTTATTCTCGTAACCTCAATTTTTAACGCTTCTTTCATCTTCCTTTTGAGCGTCCACCACTCCATCTTCACGGCTGACGCCTGCCCCTCGTCTGAATGGACTGTTTCAGAGAGAGGTCGAGGACCAGTAGCTGGTGCTTGCTTGGTACGGTTTCCCCCGAGGAAACATTGCAATCGCTGACGTTCTCAAGTTCGTTCCTTCGGAGTAAAAAGTAGTTGATCGGGCTTTCTCTGCCCGTTCTTGTAAGTTACGAAGTGATTTTCTCTTTTCTGGAAGAACGTGTCTATCAGAGCCAGGTTTTGTGGTGCAGCTGCCACCTCCAAGATTTGTCTCATTTATTTAACATACCATATCTATGTCCGCAATGGATCCTGTCATCACCCCTTCGATATTTCCCGATGTCCTGATTAAAGTCACACCCGATCATTACTTTATCGTTTCGCGGTATGTTTTGCAGTGCAGCGTCTAGGCCATCCCAGAATGTCGACTTCTCAGCTTATTCTGACAGTCTGAGGGACGTAGTTACTTATTATATTCAAAATACCACTTTTCAAAGTTAGCATAACGTCAACGATTCTGTCGTTAATTTGGTTGACTTCGAATACCCAGTCTTTGGTCGCTTCATTTAGTAGCACTCCAACTCTGTTTTTTTCTGCTTTATGCTCGACAGTTAATGAGTTTATAGCCTAGCCGAATCTCTTCGACTCCTCACCTTTCCATTTCGACTACTGAATGCAAGCGATCTGAGCTGCGCTAAAGAGTTTCCGCTTGTTGTATGCCCTTTCCCGTCATTGTTCCAGTTTCCTAAGCGACTATTCGCATTTTCTTGCTTCGTTTTCGGCATTCCAATCTCTCCCTTTGTGATTGCCATCGTCGCAAGAACTGGCTTCGTTGCTCGTTTCTCACAACCGCCAGGATTTGTTGCCGCGCATCGTCTGTGGGGAACGCCCTAGAATTCTTTCTGTGAGTAAGTTGACTCATATTTTTCTTTGGCATTGATTTGTACGGCCGGCTGCCTGCCTGATGCGAACCTGTCTTTCTCAACCGGGCTGGGAACCGGCTACAGCATGCTTATTTGGTGGTTGTACCTACTCGCATGTCACCGCGCTGTCATCTGGCTTCGAGGTATTTTATGGTGCCAACTTTGCTAGGCGTTGACTCGCTGCGCCCTCGAAGCACTGTCGTCACGTTGTCCGCGA